AGGAAAATGGCATTTAGGTCACGCCCGCAAGGAATTCACGCCGACATACCGGGGCTTTGACTCACACGTGGGCTTTTGGGGCGCCGGACAGCACTATTACAATCACAGCGACTGTTATTTCAAAGGCGATTGTTATCTAGATTTTTATCATAATATGGATGTGATTAGAAACGCGTCGGACATCTATTCAACAGATTATTTCACCGATCGGTGCCTTCATATTATCGGTTAGTTTTGTGGAGAAAATACATACATATAATCAGTATATGATTTATTATTAAGCATTTCCTACATTCACAAAAAAATAATGCTTTTGCAGCGCTTTTTACTCTGATTTTACACAAAAGCCACTGAAAAAATTACATAGATTTACAATTAAGCGCTAGATTTGTTTGAAATGTAATTGATTAATGTTAAATTTACCATACATTTAATTTTACAGACCAACAAAACACATCGCAACCCCTATTCCTATACGTGCCCTATCAGGCCGTGCACTCGGCAAGGGTTGGGTTGACTCTGGAGGCGCCCCAGAAGTACATCGATATGTTTGCGTACATTGAGTCGGATGTGCGGCAAAAGTTTGCCGCAATGGCCTATAGTATGGACGCCTCCATTGGCACAGTTATGCAGGCGTTGCACAACAAACACATGTTAGACAACAGTATTGTGATATTCATCAGCGATAACGGCGGCGATCCTTTAGAAAGAGTGGGTAAGTGTGTCGGATATACAATGGACAGGGGCTTTGAGCACATACTTATAAAGTTTATCATGTTTATTTTTATATTATAAGTTATAATTTATAACTACTTTATTATTTAGGTAACGGAGCGTCTAATAGACCTCTTAGGGGCGCAAAGTTTGGTTTATTTGAAGGAGGTTTGAAATAATAATTAGTAAACTAACTATAATTATAGTAATTTTGATTTAATATCCCATACGAAGGCATACGAGTGCCGGCACTGGTCTGGAGTCCACTCCTCAACAAAAGTGGTTACGTTTCCGACGCTTTGATTCACGTGACAGACCTCTTGCCCACAGTGTTGGACGCCATCGACGGCACCGACATTCAGGACCAGCAAAATATTTATGGTAAATATATAATTAATTAAACATCCTAGATGTGTACTATACTAATTATACTATATATTAGGTGTGTCGCAATGGGATGTGCTGTCAAACAATGACCGACCCGTGCGGTGGGAAATTTATCATAACGTGGACCCGGTGTGGAACGGGTCGGCCATACTATGGCACGACTGGAAACTCGTTCAAACTCCTAACCCTAGCAGTCCGTCAATGGGCGACTGGCGTTCACACCAGGGCTATACCGACAGTCAAATCATGCTAAACAACACTAATCTGCAATCATTTCCCACCCGTCAGTCCACTGAACGCCGCAATAGTAAAACGTATGGCGTATTGTCGGCGATGAATCGTAAACCCGATTATAGCGTATTGACGGCGTCGACGGTCGAGTGCCCACCCCTTCCCTCTACGGCCGACACACCGACCGATTGTAAGACAAAGTTGTGTTTGTTTAACATAAGGCACGACCCGTGCGAACGGCACGATCTAATTGGCGAGATTGAGGCCGAGTTTGTGAGCATTTTATGGGACCGTTTGGTGGAGTTTAACCGCACGGCTGTCCGCCCGTTAACGCTG